GGGGCCTGGGACACTTCATGTGTCATATTTTCATGCTTTGGGCTCCTGCCCAGGAGCTTCCATGAGACACAGAACTGAGCTGGCTTCAGGAAGTGTGTAACAAGGACCAGGCTGGTCAGAGCAAAGGTACCAGCACCTCCAGCAACCACAATCTATGGATATTTAAGGAGAGATTATAGGGAATGGGACCAGAGCAACCTGGTCTAGTGGAAGGTGTCCCTGCCCATGGCAGGGGGTTGGAACGAGATGATCTTTAAGGACCCTTCCAACCCAAACTCAACCTAACCCAAATATCCATTCTAGGAATATTTCCCAGACTCCAGACTTTTATTTAAGGAGAATGAAAATTGAATTATTTAGGCAAAACCGCCTTTTTGTCCCCAAGGAGGATTTTTTTTAAAAATTTTTTTGCTGAGATTGCTCTTTCCCTGGATGGAAAATTCCCAACCTGCTTGAGTTGGCAAGCTCTGGTTTTCAGTTAAAGCATATGCTGATGTATGTGTATATCTTGCTGCAACAAAAAGCTGTGGATAAATCAAGAGCTGAAGGCAGCAGGCAGTTCCCTTCCCCATCCCAACAATCCTCATATTGCCAGTGGGAGGGTGGAAAAATGGCAATTACAGTTCAGTCTGCAGGAAAATGACAGCGAAACTATACTAATGAAATAAAATATAATTCCAGCTTTATTATCTGTCCTACAGATAATACTGTAAATTCAGGAAGAATTTCTTCATGGAAAGGATTGTCAAACATTGCAAGGGGCTGCCCAGGGAGGTGGTGGAGTCCCCATCCCTGGAGGTGTCCAAGGAATGACTGGACGTGGCACTCAGTGCTCTGGGCTGGGGGACAAGGTGGGGATGGGTCACAGGTTGGACTGGATGATCTTGGAGGTCTTTTTCATACCGAGTGATTCTATGAAATGCAAAAAGATCCAGAAAATCTGACCTACAGCACCTGTTGCCTGAGAGATGTCACGTAAGAAGAAGGAATAACCTGCTTTTATTTCAATAAAAGGACTATTAAACTCCAAGAACAAAGTTTGCAGCCTCATCATGCTACATTATAGTGATTATCCACTAGCACTGGCTGGAAAATGGAATTCCTAAATGTTTTTGCCTCTCCCTGGCTCATAACATGATGCCTTATTACCCTCCAGCAAAGGCAAGGAATTCTTAGGCAGATTTTTCCCTGGCACCCTGCAAGCTCCTGCTGGCTGCTCCATGGGCTGGACAGCTGGGAGAGGCTGGAGAGGCTGTGGGAAAGGTGCCTGCCTGTTCCTGGAGCATCCAGCACACTCCCAGCCCCTGATGAATGGTTTTGCAGCTGTGAAAAGGGCTCTGGTTTGCAGAGATGGCCGGTTTCGATTTAATTTTAAATGCATTTCAATGCTTTTCTGTCCTGAAATTCCCCTCTGAAATCTCCCGTCAGAACCAGCTTTATTTTAGGGTGTGAGTTTTGAGATTAATTGATCAGGACACTTGAGGGATGAGGGATTTAAATCTGTGAGACCTCGCAGATTTCATGGAATGCCTGGATGTGTTTTTAACAGGCTTTTCTCAGGGTGGTTCATGGAGGTTGCCCTGTTCAAGAGCAATGAAACCCAGTGCTTCCCTGGACCATTATGAGCTACAGACTTCCAGTACCTAAAGGGGGCTTCCAAGAAGGCTGGAGAGGGACTTTTCACAAGGGCATGGAATGACAGGACAAGGGGGAATGGATTCAAAATGAGGGTAGGTATTAGAAAAATGAGATTAGGTATTAGAAAAAAATTCTTCCCTGTGAGGATGGGGAGGCCCTGGCATAGGTTGCCCAGAGAAGCTGTGGCTGCCCTCAGATCCCTGGAAGTGTCCAAAGCCAGGTTGGACAGGGCTTGGAGCAACCTGGGACAGTGGAAGGTGTCCCTGCCCATGGCAGGGGGTTGGAACTAGATGATATTTAAGGTCCCTTCCAACCCAAACCACTCAAGTGATTTTATGATTCCACATGAGCAGTTGTGAATCAACTCCCAGATCTGGCAAGTCACAAATTTTACAGAGTTTGACCCCTGACAGGAAAGCTTTTTGTTACGTTATCAGGTGAAACCTGAGTCCTTTTCATAAACTCACTCTTTATGCTCCAAAGTCTATTTAACAAAATTGTGCTCAGTAAATAGAGTTGGGAAAGTGACCTTTCACTGGTTACAGGGTTTTCCTTCTCTGCTTTGTTCCCTTGCAGACAATGACCCTGATTCATGGCACATCCTGTCAAGTTGTAACTGGCCTCAGCCAACTCTGCCTGAGGCTTCTTCTTGGCCAGCTGTGATGGTGGGAGGAGAAGGGGAGGAAACATTGATGTGGGACTGATGAACACCTGAACATTTCCCACTGAACTGTTTTGGGAGCATTCAGTGTTTCAGGGCTGCTTCCTGGTGTTCAACAATTTCCATCTCTTGGGGCAGATGGAGGTAAATCATAGAATCATAAAATATTCTGAGCTGGAAGGAACCCACAAGGATCATCAGAGGAGGGTGATCATCTTCCACCCTCTGTGTCCTGCTTGGTCAGTGCTGGGATTTTTTTCTCCTGTAATGTTCAATGCTTGCTCCTGCAAATCTCTTCTTACCATGGGATGCAGAGGTGTGGGGTTTGGGTCAATACTGTGTTTTTCTGCTAATTACAGAGGCTGTTTGGTACCAACTAGTGAAATAGTCCTGAGAGACCACATCTACAGGGAGCTTGTGATGCCAACCTTGCACTGAGGTGCCCACAGCAGGGGGTTGGAACAAGGCGATCTTTAAGGTCCCTTCCAACCCGAACTATCCTAGGAATATTTCCCAGATTCCAGTCATTGCTGATTTTTATTTAAGGAGAATGAAAACTGAATTATTTAGACAAAACCTACTTTTTGTCCAAAGGATGAATTTATTTTTTTTTTGCTGACATTGCTTTAGTCAAGAAACTCAAATCCATCTTCAAGGAGTGTAAAGCACCACAAAAAACCCCACAGCAGACCATTCCTTCTGGATCAGGTGGTCATTTCCCATTTTCTTTGTTTCTCAGCTTTTTAGGAAGCTGCATCATTGCATTGACAGTGAAGCAAAGTTACAGAAACCACGGCACAAAGATGTTTTTCCAAAACCTGACTTGCATTCTGTGCTTTCCAAATGCAGAGCTGTGGGGTTTGGGTCAATACTCTGTGTTCCTGCTAATTTACAGAGGGTGTTTGGCACCAACCAGTGAAATGGTCCTGAGAGACCACATCTACAGGGAGCTTGTGATGTCAACCTTGCACTGAGGTGCCTTGTCACTCCTGCCTGTGAGAAAGGGACTGGGGTGATGCAGAACCTTTCCTGCACAATAAATGTAATTATAAAAAAAAGGAAGAATTGCCCTTTTAACCTGAGAGCTGTGTGTTTTCACCAGGTGAAAAGATTGCATATGCTGATGCTTTAGTCAAGAAACTCTAATCCATCTTCAAGGAGTGTAAACCACCACAAAAAATCCCACAGCAGAGTACTCCTTCTGAATCAGATGGTCATTTACCATTTTCTTGGTTTCTCAGCTTTTTAGGAAGCTGCATCATTGCATTGACAGTGGACTGAAGTTACAAAAACCACGGCACAAAGATGTTTTTTGAAAACCTGACTTGCATTCTGTGCTTTCCAAACCTTCTCCTCGCCAGCATCAAGGGATCCATCCATATACAAAGGCTGTTAGGGTGGTCTCTTTGCTCTTATCTGAGCATCCCAACAACTGCAAGGTTGCCTCAGGGTGGTGCAGCAGATGCTGCACTGTTGGGGTTGGAAAATCCTTCCCATCAAAACCCTTTTCTCTTGCAACATCTGCTCACCTCAGAGACCTGAGGGAGCTTGTTTTCATACCAGGTTTTGTGTTGTTTAGAGGACACAGACCTTTGGGAAAGCAGGCCATGATTTACTGGACAGGGAAGACTTACCGTGAACAAACTCTCTCCTGCTGACCTGAGAGTGTTTGATCTGCTCCTGCTTAGACTGGAAACTCATCCTTGTCATTAGCTGCACTAATTATGTATCTTGTTTCCATAGCCTACTTGAAATGAATCCCCGTGTGGAAACCTGCTCTGTGAAGGCCAGTGAGGAAGGAAGGAAAACGGATGTTCTGTGCACTCCAGACACGTTGGTGAATCCAGTTCTGCAAAAACAGCTGCTGAGGGTTTATAACGTTTCCCTTCTGCCTTTGTTTCTGGCTGTGGTTATTCATTTTTGTTACAAGGATGAATATTTGGCCTTTATAGAAGGTGTGAAGGGCAGAGAGATTGGTTGGAACTTACTGTTTCTGTCCTTAGTCTTCCATGTGGTGTTTTTATCACTGCTGGAAAAGTCATCATAGAATGGTTTGGGTCGGAAGGGACCTTAAAGCTTATTTAGTTCCAGCCCCCCGCCATGGGCAGGGACACCTTCCACTAGACCGGGTTGCCCAGGGCCACATCCAACCTGGCCTTGTCACCAAAAGAAGTGAAAGTCACTTTAAATTACAGCACTGCCCCCCCATGAGCTCTCTGTATCTACTCTGAGGTGTGAAATCCCTGCTTGAGGGCAGGTGACATCTTACTGTGGATTTCTTAGCAACCTTATGGCCTCTGCACAGGCAGATGTCCATGGAAGGTGTGACTCAGGGCCTGATTTTTCCCCTCAGAAGTCCCTCATTTCCCTCAGTTAAACCATTGTTATATTTGGGATGCTTCCTTCATCCATTTTGTTTGCTTAGATGTGAAGGTGCAAGGCAGTGTGTAAATGGGGAAGTATAGGAGAGTGTTCAGGGAACAAACAAAGCTGTTTTCTTCCCCAAAATAACAAATGTATCCCTTGGAGATCCAGGAATCCCTGCTGGCTGGTTGCAGTGCAGGTCGGGACTTCTTGAGGGTTGTGTACTTCAGAACTCCAGTCAGTGGCTTTTTTGGGTACATTCTCAGGATAAACACTCATTATTTTATGTGTTTATTGGAGAAGCAGCAAGGAATGGGGAGAGATCCAGGTGCTAAAACTGAAGAGAGGAGGTGGGTGAGACTCTCCCTGCCCTGAGACAGGATCCACTCAGCACATCTCTGCTGATGGATCTGACCTGACCTGCTCTTAAATCTCGTAGCAACATAACTCTCCTCCCTCCCCAGGTGACTTTTCCAGGACTTCCTTACAGCTAAAAGTTGGTCCTAATAACTAATCTTGTCACTATTTGAGCACGTGCCTTCAAAATCAATATATTTGAGGTTTTTTGTTGTGGTGGTAGTGGTGCTTCATACTGTAAGATTGGCCCCTTTTCACCTCCAGCCACTTCTGCTCTTCACAGGGCTCTTTCCTTCCCTTTTTCCCAGTTTTTTTATAATTCTTGTTGCTGTGGACTGTCCTTAATTGTGTCTCATCCCTCTTTAATGCCTGGACGTGGCACTCCGTGCTCTGCTCTGGTTGACAAGGTGGTGATGGGTCGAAGGTTGGACTCGATGATCTTGGAGGTCTTTTCCAACCTTAATGATTCTGTGATTGTAGAACCAATCACCACGAGGGTGGAAATTAGAACTTTGGATATAAAAGAAAGCAGATTGTTTATCTGCCATCAGCGCATGAGCAGAATTCACGTGTGTCCTGAGGGGAGTTTCCCTTGCAGGATTGTTATTCCCTGGTCACAGAAAGATGTTGATTATAAGAAAACAGCAACACGGAAGCACCTGGGGAGCACTGGAGGCTTTAATCTGGTCCATTGCAGTGCAAGAATTTCTCTTTACTGTGATTGCAGTCCCCAAGGTGTGAGCACCCAGTGCTGGAGTTAAACCTCCTGCAGAGGCTTTGGCTCCTCTGAGAGGCCTTTCAGGCAGGGATCTCACACACAGTGTGATCTCCAGGTGGGAGATGCCACCAGCAGAGGCATTCTTCCTCCTCAGCCTACCTGGAGGGCCAACACCTGTGTTTTCACTTTGCTGGAGCTCACCGGGAGGGGAATGATGCCAGGGGAATGTGTTTAAAAACAAACCATCTGTGGTTCACACAGTGCTTCACCCCTCATTAGAATAAAAAAAATAAATAGACAAGACAAATCTAATTGAACCAAAGATCATCGAGCTCATTCTTTTAATTAAAAAAAAAATTACTTCTAACTAAAATCTTCCCCTTTTTTCTTCTCCAAGGAAGCAGCAACCCAGTGTGACACACACGTTTGGGCGCAGAAGCGACGCCAGTCACTCACAGAGGGAAGATGAGACCTGGCTGTGATCAGTGTGAGGTTCTCCTGTGCTGCCAACTCGATGTGACACCTCCCTGTGCCTGGGCACAGCCCGTGTCACATCTGCTGGGGATGATGAGCATCAGGGTCAAACCAGTTCAGCACCACAGGGAGAAGATGTTTCTTCTTTTCACATCCTGTGTGGCTGAGCTGTCACATCAAGGCCAAGTTCAGTCTCCCTCCCTGATGACTCTTTGTGGATGTTGTGGCACATGTGGACACAACAGGAGCTTGGACATGTTGCTCACCAGGGCTGAGGGACATAAGGGCGTATAAAATCCAGGCAAAACTCCACTTCCTTATTAATCTGTCTCTGGGCAGTGGCAAAAGCTTGTGGAAAAAACAGGAATACAGCCTGGCATACCTTTGTGGGCCTCCCTTGTAGTGGGCCTAGAAGGAATTTGGAGAGGGAGCCTTCGTCAGGAACTGTAGTGACAGGACAAGGAGTAATGGGTTCAAATTGAAAGAGGGGACATTTAGGTTGGATATATGGAAGAAATTCTTCCCTGTGAGGGTGGTAAGGCCCTGGCAAAAGTTGCCCAGAGAAGCTGTGGCTGCCTCATCCCCAGAAGTGTTCAAGGCCAGGTTGGATGGAGCTTGGAGCAACCTGGGATAGGGAATGTGTCATGACTGCACCTCATCACAGATTCACAGAATGGGTCAGGTTGGAAGGGACCACAGTGGGTCACCTGGTCCCACCTCCTTGCTCAAACAGGGCCATCCCAGAGCACACAGCGCAGGATTGTGTCCTGACAGTTCTGGAATATCTCCAGTGAGGAGGACTGCACACCCTCTCTGGACAATCTGCTCAGTGCTCAGTCACTGCACAGCAAAGTTCTTCCTCAAGTTCGGGTGGAACTTCCTGGGCATCAGTTTCTGCCCATTCCTCTTGTCCCATTGCTGGGCACCCCCGAGCAGAGCCTGGTCCATCCTCTGCCCCCTCCCTGCAGACCCTGACAGACATGGATGAGGTCCCCTCTCAGTGTCTCTTCGTGAGGCTGAACAGCCCCAGGTCCCTCAGCTTTTCTTTGTAAGGGACGTGCTCCAGTCCCCTCAGCATCTTTGTCACCCTTCACCGGACCTGCTCCAGGAGCTCCATGTCTTTCTTGTACTGAGGAGCCCAGAACTGGACACAGAACTCCAGATGTGCCTCACCAGGGCTGAGCAGAGGGGCAGGATCCCTTCCCTGACCTGCTGGCAATGCTCTTCCTAATGGTCAGTGTCACTGCTGGATCATGGACAGCTTGCTGTCCACCAGGACCTCCAAGTCCTTCTCAGAGCAGGTTGGGCCCCACGCAGATGGAAAATTCTTCTACCTCCAAGAAAGAATTCTTAAAGGGGTCCAAGAGCACACTTCTGAGAGTTATAATGGCAGAAAGGTGTTTGAGTATTCAAAAAACCAGAAGATCCAGAGCCCCATCATGAAGATGATAGAAGGAGAAAGTCCTCTAAGACCACATTCTACTGTGCTAATTAATGATGGCAAAACTTCAGGAAAAAATAAAGAATTAGACATTTGCCTTCCTACGTGGAGGAAGATGAAAAAGCAAAAGCTGGAAGGTGTTTTATCTCCTCTCTTCCCCACTGTGAGCAATTTAAGACCTGTTTATGGGCAGGAACTAAGCAAGATGGAAAGAGTATTATCTACAGAACACTGTGAAATTCAACAGACTTTAGAAAAGACAGGCAATGTTTCAAAAAATATGGTTAAATGGGAACTCCATGTCAAAGGAGGAGGTTGGTTTGCCTTCCAGGAGCACCTTCAAATTCAAAGTACTGCAGAGAGGGAGGGTAAACATGACTCAAGCACAAATAATTTTTAAATTAGAGACTGATAAACTCAGCACCACACAAAAAAGGCTCCATTGTGTGAATAACAATCAATTGGGTCCAGCAAACAGACATGACCCTCACTTCACAAATATAATTACTGCACTGGGCTTCCTTGTGCCTCAGTGTTCTGCTTATAATAAATGGCCTTGAAAAACAGCATTTTTATAGAGAGTGGTTTGTTTGCAAAGCTCTCTGGGCTCCTCCTCTGCTCCTTGCTGTGCTGAGGCAGGTTTTGCTCATCACTCAGGAAACCCAACTAAGAGCATAAAAGCAACCACAGCAAATGAAGCAAAGATCCTCCCAGTCCAGTTTCTTTGTCTCTACCAGCAGCTCTTTCCCCACAAAACTCTCACAGACCTCTGTGATCTTCAGCTGAAGGACTTTCTGAACCAGACACCTGCACACTCAGTATATTCACAGTCACTCCTCATTAAGGTTTTTCTCCTCCACAAACTCAACCCACGTGCTTTTGAAACTCAGGTGAGTTTGTAGCGTCCACACTGGATAATGTCCCTCCTTCCCATGTGATTTTGTGCCCTCTAATTACAGTAGCTAAGCTGTTACATAACCATCCCAACCTCCCTGCCAAGGGGTGGAATTCATAAGCGGGAGGGAACGGAAAAAAAAGAGCTTATAAACACCTCTGTGGCAAAGCTAATCTTATCTCAAAGCCTTTGTTCCTTGGGGAGTTAATGTTTGGGGTTGTGAAAGATAGATGTGTTCGGAATGAGGGGAAAAAACATGTAGTAACATTGTTTGCTGGAAGTACAGCTCAGCAGAAGGAAGGAGGAGAAGGATCTGGAAGGTCTTTGCACAAATGCTGTTGAGCATGAGGATCAACTCAGGGGAAGGAGGATTTGATCAACTTCTGTCTGAAGACTTGCTGTGGTCCATCAAATCACTGATCCATCAAACACAGAGTTCTGTTTGCCCTCATCTTGTCCCCTTTGTCCTTCAGAGGACATCCTACTGATCCCTAACTCTGCTCCCCTGAGAAGGAGAACAACACACAAACTTCCCCTTCTGGTAGCACCTTATGTTGTCAGAAGTCACCTTCTCCCTCAGCCAGAAACAGCAGAAGAACCTAAATGGCCTTCAAGGTCCCTTCCAACCCTAAGCATTCTATGATTATAACCATGATTTAGGACTGGGATTCCCATGTCAGGCCCTGCTTCCTAGTCTGCAACGCCCTATCACAGCAGGAGGCTGCTCGGAGATTTAGGAAGTGTGACATGGGATCAGATCTAAGTCCAAATACTTTGCACAAACTGCTCCAGGCTCTCTAATCCCTCCTGGTCACTCATTAAGAGCTCCTTTAAGAACTTCCTGCTCCCTACAGCTTTGCTGGATGTCTAAGAAATTGGGCAGTGCCTGGACTGCATCAAACCATGTTGTGTTTCTGGGTTTCTGCAGTTTTGGCCCCTCTCTAGAAGGATCCTTGGCCAGGACCCCACAAGAAACGTGCAATGGGGTCCTTGCTGCCTCCATAAATTGTGGGGTTGGAAGGGACCTTAAAGTTCATCTCATTCCAACCCCCTGCAATGATCAGGGACACCTTCCACTGTCCCAGGTTGCTCCAAGCCCCATTCAACCTGGCCTGGAACACTTTCAGGAATGGGAAATCTGCGACTTCTCTGGGCAACCTGTTCCAGGGCCTCACCACCCTCACAGGTAAGAATAGCACATGACGGGCTGAGAAGCAGAAGAGAAGGAGATTCATGACTCCAAAGCAAGAAAAGGACTGCAGGGAAGCTACAGAGAGACTGAGTGAAGGACAGCATTGGAGAACTCAGGAAGAACTGGTGTGCAGAGGTCCCAGATGACTCCATGAGCTGCTGTGTGCAGTCACTTCTCCCTGGAGACTTGGCAGCTTTTCCAGGAGAGTTCACCACAGGTTTCACCCCACAGCTTTCCTGTTGGGCTACCAGAGCTGCACCAGCAGGGATCCTGGTGCCTCGGGTAACTCACCCCCTTTGTGCAACCCAGGGGGGGTCCAGGAGCTTATTTTACACCCAAGGGAGCTCTTTGCTCCAGCTACCTGTGCACCTCCCAATCATGTGGACAGAAGAAACACCAGGTGCCAAGGAGATCAGCATTTCCTGATGCAAACTGTAACCTGAGATAGGAAGAGAGTCCCAAGGCCCTGCACACAGATGGGTATCTCTGTGCAAATGACCTGGAAGGCAGCTGACACCCCAGAGCCCACTTTACAGTGATGCATTTGGGGGTAAAAAAAGGATTTGTAGAAGTTGCCTCCTCTGTTGTTGATGTGAAACACCAACACGGGGCCTTCAAATGAAGGATAATTCCCCAGAAAGGAAAATAAAGAAGCAGAATCTGTAAGCAAGAAGCACAGCTCCCAAACCTCAGCAGAAATAGCTTTGGAGGACATGGCAGGGTGTAGGACTGCATTTTCTTTGGAAGGCTTGTCACCTCACAGAACACACACTCCTGTGGCTGAGATCCAAAAATGTTGAACCTGGATTCACAACCCATCAAGCAATTCAGCTTCTCTTCGTTCAAGAACAATGTGCTCATTCAAGAACTCTTGCCCTCTACAGAAATTTAGCAGTGGTGTTTCCAAAACAGAAATGTCTCCAATGGAAAGGGCCATCCTCTCTCAGTTCAATATACCTGATATCAAGTGATTTCCCTCTCCAAGACTGTTTTAGCTTTCCCTTGTAGTGTCTGAGTGTCTGAGTGTCAGCCTTAACCCAGGGTCTACCCCTCAGTGAGATCCTTGCTGTGGACATGCAGCTCCACTGTCTTTATTCTCTTCATGGCTTCCTACCTAAAAAATGTTGATGGGATGAGTTCTCAGAGTAGCCACACCCATCTCCTGCACACAATCAGCCTCCAGACTCTCTCCTGTGATATGGCAGAAGCTGCACAGGAGCTCGATGAGCAGCTGTGGGAGGGTGTGTCCTGATAGGGGGTATCTCCAGTTTTGAGGACCAATGTCACAGCTCAGGCAGCACGAACACAATGATTCCTACAGTCCATGCTCCAGGAAAGAGCCTCTTGACTGAACCAAGTCCCCCCTTCGTTGGTTTCTGTATGTGAGAACAACCAGGTGACTCTTTCTGCTGGGCTGAAGCCTCGGTTAACGAAGCCATTTAGGACTGTGGCCCTCCACAGTGTCCCTGGTTGGGAAGGGGAGACATTTTGAATTGATATTTTAGGAAACAGATTAGAACCTGAGAGGTCCTCCCCAGCCACTGTGACCTCAGTGAGAGTGGGAACACCAGAAACCACAGTACAAATCTTAGCAGGTGTTCATGTAGAACAGCCACTGGAAGGATGCAAAGACAGCAGAGGAAGTTTGAAAGGCAGAGGTGATTATCAGCAACCGAAAGATCACTTGGATACTGTAGCCCTCTCTGATGTCTGAGCATTTAATGAGCTGGTGATACATTTAAGGAGCCTGGGAGAGACAACTGTACCTGTGATGTAAAGATGATGAGGGGAGTGGAGCATCTCTGTGATGAGGAAAGGCTGAGGGAGCTGGGGCTGTTCAGCCTCGAGAAGAGACACTGAGAGGGGACCTCATCCATGTCTGTCAGGGTCTGCAGGGAGGGGGCAGAGGACGGACCAGGTTCTGCTCAGAGAGGCCCAGCAATGGGACAAGAGGCACAGGCAGGAATTGATGCCCAGGAAGTTCCACCTGAACACGCGGAAGAACATCTCTGCTGTGTAGTGACCAAGCACTGGAACAGACTGCCCAGAGAGGGTGTGCAGTCTTCCTCACTGGAGATATTCCAGAACTGTCAAGACACAATCCTGTGCCAAGTGCTCTGGGATTTCCCTGCTTGAGCAGGGGGGTTGGACCAAGTGACCCACTGTGGTCCCTTCCAACCTGACCCGTTCTGGGATTCTGTGATTCCATGACCAGTGCAGTGTTGTACCACAGCTCGGGGGGTGATTGCTGACCAACATCAGAAGGATGTGGAGCTGTTGGAGCAAGTCCAGGAGGCCACAGAGATGCTCTGAGGTCAGGAGACCCTCTGCTCTGGAGACAGGCTGGGAGAGCTGGGGGTGTTCACTTGGAGAAGAGAAGGATCCAGGGAGACCTTGGAGCCCCTTCCAGTGCCTTAAGGAGCTCGTAGAAAGCTGGAGAGGGACTTTGGAAAAGGGCCTGGAGGGACAGGACAAGGGGGAAAGGCTTCCCCCTGCCAGAAGGCAGGGTTAGACGGAATATTGGGAAGGAATTCTCGTCTGGGAGGGTGGTGAGGGGTTGGCAATGTTGCCCAGAGAAGCTGTGGCTGCCCTTGGATCCCTGGAAGTGTCCAAGGCCAGGTTGGACGTGGCTTGGAGCAACCTGGGCTAGTGGGAGGTGTCCCTGCCCGTGGCAGGGCGTTGGAACGAGATGCTCTTTAATGTCCCTTCCCCCCAGTCCATTCCATGGCCGGGAGGTCCCGTTGTATAGGCTCATGCCCTGGGACTGGCCCCCCTCGGCTGGGCTGGGCCTGGGGGCCCCCCGCCCCCTCACAGCGGATGACGTCAAGGCTCAGTGACGTCACTCGGTCCCCTCCCCGGCTGATGTCAGACCCAGCCCCGGGGAAGCGGCACCGGGACACGGACGGGGCGGCGGCGGGAGCGCGGCGGGCCCGGGGTGAGCGTGGGGCCGGTCCCAGGGGGGCTGTGGGTCCATGGGGGTTATTCCGCGGGTCCGTGGGGGCCGTTTTTTGGGGGGATTTGTGGGCGCGAGGCCGTCCCGCTCCCGGCCGGGTGGGAATGAATGAGGCGGGGGAGGGGAAGTGGGAGCCGCGTCCCGCCCGGCGCAGCCATCAGAGCCCTGTCCGGGAGCGGGGGCGGCTCCCCCGGCACCCCCCGGCATCCTCCGGCTCCGCTCGGTCTCCTCCTGGGGACCCCTCGGTCCCCTTCGGGGGCGGCGATTTGGTGCTCGAGCCCCATCGCGGCTCTTTTGTGCCTCTCCGCGGGCTGGGGGGTTTTCTTGGTCCCCGTCACCCGCAGCCGGCGTTTGGCTTCATCCGCGCAGGATGGGCAAGGAACGGAATCAGGAGTGGCTTGGGTTGGAAGGGATCGTCTTGTTCCAACGCCCTGCCATGGGCAGGGACACCTCCCACTATCCCAGTTTGCTCCAAGCCCTGTCCAACCTGGCCTTGGACACTTCCAGGGATGGGGCAGCCGCAGGTTCTCTGGGCAACCTCTGCCAGGACCTCACCACCCTCACAGACAACAATTTCTTCCTAATATCCTGTCTAAACCTACTTTCTTTCAGTTTAAAACCATTCCCCCTTGTCCTGTCCCTCCAGACCCTTTTCCAAAGTCCCTCTCCAGCTCTCCTGGAGCCCCTTTAGGCACTGGAAGGGGCTCCAAGGTCTCCCTGGAGCCTTCTCCTCTCCACGTGAACACCCCCAGCTCTCCCAGCCTGTCTCCAGAGCAGAGGGGCTCCAGCCCTCGGAGCATCTCCGTGGCCTCCTCTGGACTCGCTCCAGCAGCTCCACATCCTTGTGCTGTTGTTCCCCAGGGCTTGGAGGCAGCTCTGCAGGTGGGGTCTCACCCGAGGGAGTAGAGGGGCAGAATCCCCCCTCCCCTGCTGCCCACGTGTGGGATGAGCCCTCGATACATTTGCCTTTCAGGACCAATCTCCCTTATCTTCTCCAGGAGCGTCACACCGTTCAGTAGCTCTGTCACACTGTTCAGTAGCTCCGTAATCTCCCTTTTTTTTATTTATTTTTGGTGCCTGGGGTCAGGTTTCCAGCAGCTCCCTCACTGCCTCGGGCTGACGTCTCCTCTTGGCCGGCTTTGCCCGGGGCCCAACGTCATCCCACAGCCATGCGTCACCCCTGGAACAGGATCCACGGGGGGTGTGTGTGTGTCAAGGTTATTCCATCAGAGTTTGGCCAAGAGCCTCCTGCCAGGGAGAACAGCTCCAGCCTGGACACCCTGGCACACCCCCCCTGCCAGGGAACATGGGGAGGGACGCAGTGTCCCCGGCTGGGGCTCTCCAAACCAGAGGAATTACCAGCAGGGGGTGTGTGATGGATTTGGGCTGTCCAGCAATCCAGGCTGCAGGAATTGTGGTTGAGCTGAGAGTTACCCCTTAGTTGTGGCAGCTTGAGTGCTCCCAAATGCGGGGATCCAATGGAATTCCCACTTGGCAGCACTAGGGCATCAGGGAATAAGGCTTTCCCGAGGGCAAAGCGGCACGTGCTTCATCTTCTGGATGCCCAAGGGAGGCACTTGCTTTCCCCTCAAGCTCTTCTTGGTACAGTTGGAAAAAGTAGAGGAGCTTCCCAAAACATAAGCCCTTCTCCAGGTCTGAAGCAGAAACTGTGGGGTTTGGAGCCAAATGTGAGTTGAGAACTTGGTGCTCAGAGCGTTGGTGTGGACCATGTGCCCGAGGACGTGGTTGGGTATCTTCAAGATCCTGTGTCCTAGAGAGTACCCGATTTTCTTGGAAAGAAAGAAGCTCTGGATTCTTTGGTTTAGCTCCATGGAGGAGCATCCCATGGAGCCTCAGCAGCTGTGCAGCCCCCAGAAACCCTGTGGGAGATCTGGGATTTAGTTCTGGCCTCTCTCTCCTCTCTCTCTCCCATGTTCTTTGAAGCTCACTGGGGGAATTTCCAGACCAACTCGGTGACTTTCTTATCTTCCTTATCGCCGTGACAGTCTATTAATAACTAATTTATAGGAACTACTGCTTTCTATAAACATATTTCTGACTTTTATGTGAGCAACAGGTGTTGCTGCTTATGTAACACCTTGGAAACCTCGCAGAGGAACAGCAGCTGGCTGTTTCCTAAATGGCATTTTATGAATGTTGCTCCTTTTTTTTTTCTACATTCCCTCTTTTCCCTTTCCCTGTGCTTTAATCTCCTTACAAACCCCCGAAATTCCTGCTATCCCAGATTATTGCTGTCCACTGGAACACGTGTTTGCTTTGTGCTAATCCTTTGCACTACCACTAATTGGTTTAAACCTTGTCCTTCAGGTTGGGTTTTGGGACTTAGAAAAGCTGCTTGCCCAGCTTCAGAGCCCTCTCCCTGCCTATCCCAAACTTCCAGGCATTTCAAAATCAAGGAGAAGGGAATGAAGTGATATTCCTGGCTGCTGCTGCTCTCACGAGGACGTGTTTTTTTTTTCCTTTTTTTTTTTTTTTTAAGGTGTGGGACAACTCCTACTTTGTGCCAGGTTTTGATTGGCTTTCCACAGAGGCAGTGTCCTATAAATTCCCTTCTCCTTTCTGCTTCTGCCTTATCACCAGCTGAGGGACAGGTGAGTACAGAGGAGGGAAAATTCCAGCAGCAATTCCATTGCTTAATCCATGATATTGGCGTCAGTTATTAATTTAAATTAATGGGGTGGGGGGAATGACTTTGATGTTTCAGAATGAAAAATTCCTCATTTTACTGACAGTTTCTGACATCAGTTTGAGTGGATGAGTAAAATCAGAGACTAAAAATATTCAGAAGATAATGGGAGGGGGGGAAATATTTTATGGAATCATGGAATGGTTTGGGTTGGAAGGGACCTTAATGCTCATTCCATTCCCCCTGTACCATGGGCAGGGTCAACTTCCACTATAAATGATGTTTATATTTTATTTTTTTTTCTCTTCAATTTGTAATTGAACAGAAGTTTTCCTCCTTGGGATAGTAAGAAAGAAACCTATAAAAAAATTTAATATTTTACATCAGTTAAATGAATATTTTTTGTGTTCAGAGCTATTAATTAGTCCTAGAATTCATTTAAAATGGGAAACTTGGATTTAGCAGAATTGGCTTTTCTGTCTGAGTTGCTTTTGCAAGTTAATTACTGTGCTGCAGCTGACTTTACCTCTTTGGGCAAGTATTTTTAAGGCATAATGTTAATTTCTTTATATATCTGTGCATTTATTGGCAAGTTTAAAATTTAATAATCACACCTCTTTTCCCCCCCCTTCCTGTTTGAAATAGAAATAAATGCCATTGGTGGATTTTTTTCACTGCTGAGGTGTTTCAGTGTCTGGTGTAAAATGAATTTACTGTTCTTTTGAGTCAGCCTAGACCTGTAATTCTGAGCTTGAGCCTTTGTGGCTTCACTCCAGGTACATTTGGAAAAACCAGTCCAGTCGGTGGGGAACCAATTTGTTTCCAGTGTGGCATTTTTAGTAAAAACTAAAGTTAGTTTGTGCTTTGTTTATAGAACTCAAAATGTCAAAATGACTTTGCAGGTACTTTTAGTGGGAATTTTCCACGACAGAGACCAGTGAGTCTCTGTCAGTGCTGTAGGATTTTATTTTCCCATTGTGAAGCAGGAAGGGATTATCATGAGATCCAGTTGTCCAGATGGATTTTGAATATTTCCAAGGATGGAGACCCCCATCACCTCTCTGGGCATCTCAGACTAAGTCTCTTTGATCAGTTTAATTCTATTTTTAATATGCCCTTTTAATGTGTCTGTGCTATTAGACAATAGGTAGTTTAGCAAACCCTTTTGTATTTAAATAGCAAAACTCCCTCAAGTACCAGAAAATTCTCAGCCTGGTGAGCTCAGGAGTGAAAGGAACACCCACATTCATCACTTGCTCCCTTTTCTCTGCATGGTAAATTTGGAATTAAATTAACTGCTGCCATTTCTGGTTGTGATCTTCCTTCTTCCTGACTCCCCCTTTTAGAATATCAGGAATTCCCAAAGAAAGGAACTGACAAGGCAATCTCATCAGGGTGGTCTGAAACGTGCTTTAATCTGGGAATTTGCTTATTATTTGATATTTGGGAATGACTTAAAAGCTGTTGAGAGGGGATAAGGAAGAATTTAAGTGATTGTACCTCAAGAATAGTTTTTGAAAGAAGTAAACTGGGACCTCAGAAACCACCAGTTGTGGCTGCAGGTGTGATTTGTTTGGGGTACTTTCCATTTCCTTCCCAAATGTGAAAGATTTGGAGAGGGAAAAAAACAAACTTAAGTGTAGCACAGAGTAACTTATTAATATGTGAAATAATTCGGATATTTTCGTGAGTCCTGGCTAAATAGTGCCACTCCTTTGTTTGCTTTCTGGGTCCCATCCATCAGGAGTGTTAAGCTGGAGTAAATCTCTCTTTTTTAAAGGAGATTTCCTGCTGCCTCTGGCTCAGCAGCTCTTGCTGATGCAATTCTGAGAAAGTTTGCTAATTCATGGCAGCCTGCAAACCCTTCACTCCAAAGTGGAATCACAGAAGCTTTGTTGAATTCTGTGTTTGGTGCTTGAAATCGCAGTTTATATTGATTTATTTTTTTTGAAAGGCTTAAACTTGAACCGTGTTCTTATTGTTGATTTTCCTGAACCGTGCATATTTTCACGAGCTCCCTCCAGGGAATACATTACCTCCACTCATGTTACTTCCCAGGCAGCTTCTGGGACACGTGGCTCATCATCCGACCCTTGGATTGCATCAAATTCCTCCGAATCCCTGCGGGAGTTTTCTCAGGGAGCGTGTTTAAAAGCCTTTGAAGTCACTCTGACTCATCTTTTCTCTTGTGCCCGCAGCAGGTTTGAAAGGGGAAGATGCCAATTGTCAGGAACGTGGGCAGGGCTGCCAGCCAGCTGCTCCAGAGCTCGGGCTGTGGCTGTGGGATTTCCATCGTGCCCGTTCGGTGCATCGGGGTCTCCCCGCGCCAGGTGGCCTCGGATGCGAGTTTCCACTCCGTCACCTTCTCCGAGTCGGATCATCCTCGGGTGCTCATCACAGGTAATTCCTGTCATAACTGTTCCTGCTCCGCTCCCCTCCTGCCTCCCCAGTGGGCAGAATTCTGGCAGCAAAAGTACCCCAAGTGCTCTGGAATTGTGATGATCTTTCCCATGGGAGCCC